CCCCAAAACCCCAAAACCCCAAAACCCCGTCACGCTAAGTTTCAATGATCTTATTGGTTTAATTATATTGAATTCGAAACTAATTGCCAAGGGATTAGTATTATATAATTTAGGAATGGTTGAGAGTTAGGCTTAATCTTTTAAGACTCGAATGATAAATAAAATATCACTTGCACCAATGGTCAGAATTGTAAGATAATTTGATTTTACTTAGTTAGGGTACTTTACCGTTTAGATAGCTATCAAGAGCATATGGTGCAGACTATGTATTCTCAGAGGAAATTATTGATAGGAAGTTCTAGCATTGTGTCAGATATGAGAATTAAGACCTCAACTGTATTGATTATATCAGCACTAGAGATTATGCTGTGATTCTTAGATGTATTAAGGAAGAAAAAGAATAATTTATTCTTCAAATAGGCACTAATAACGCTCAGACGGCTATATAAGCAGTTGAGAAAGTCTAGGAAGATATATGTGGCGTAGATGTTAATATGGGATGTCCAAAGAAATTCTCAGTTGGAGGTGGAATGGGTAGTGCGCTAATGAGAGATATTGACAATGCTAAGTTTATTATGAAGAGTTTAGTGGATAAATTCGGATAGCTCATGAGTGTATCATGTAAAATTAGAGTGTTAGGTACATTTGAGGAAACTATGAATTACATATTGGCAATGTAAGATGCTGGAGTTCATTGGATCTCCATACATCCTAGAACTGCAGCTTAAGAGAGTAAAGTTCCAGCTAGATGGTTCATTGTAAAGAAAATAATAGATTCTGGCTTAGTTAAAATTCCAGTTCTAGGTTCAGGAGACTTATTTTCACCGATAGACATTAACTAATTTATTCAGTTTACTGGAGCCTCAGGTGTTATAGTTGCTAGAGGAGCTATTCATAACTGTGCTTTATTTACTTAAAAATAAGAAATGCTGAACCCAAACACTTATGAGGAAAATTTCGAACTATGGATAGACAACACTTAGGAATAGCAATAAAAAGAGGAGTCTGTGTTGTAAAAATAAATATTTGAGCAAGAAAACTAAAAAACTGATAATGCTAAGTAGAAAAATAAAAAGAGTGGCGGCGGTGATGATGAAAATGTAGAATTTAGTTTAAACTTAGTTAAGGTTTTCGAAACTAGATATCAAAAGTATCCAATGCTAGTACCGATTCTAGATTAAGTTAGGGAGTATTTTAGGCTATGCATAGAGTTTGGAAATCATTTTTAAAATGCTAAATATGTGATACTTTATATGCTTAAAACACATAAAGATCACTTTGAATTGTTTAAGCAACTATAGTATGGAAGGAACTTTTAAGATTATGCAAGGATCCTAGAAATAGAATATATGCTAAAAGATGTTGATTAGATCAAGTAGTTGCATTTCGATGCCTAATACTACAGAAAAAATAAAAATATAATAGATGAAATAGTTAAAGCAAAATAAGCTTAAACAGATGATGGTTTGAATGCTTAAGTAGGTTCGAAAAGAACAAATGAAGAAATTTTAAATGAATAATAGATTTAGTAGATAGAAGATGGAAATTTGAAAAGATTAAAAACATGATTGTTAAATAACTAAAGCATTTGAAGTAATTATTTAAACTATAATTTAAAAATATAATCAATACTCTAATAATCACTTTATAACTTGATATACTTCTATCTCTATCACTTTGAAATATTCAGCCCCTGCCAAATAATCCTTAGTTTGTAAATCTTTAACTAAATAGCCTTTCGGCATCTCATATGTGTGACCCAGTAAACAGCAGCTATCAAAGTTCAAATTACAATCGCTTTAAATAAAAATATCATTCCATTTTCCAAATGCCATTAGCTAATCTTTATGACATTCAACAGCACTTTCAAAGTTCTAATACTATTTATGGATAGTGTTTTTAGTGAGAGAAAAAATAAATGCTTCTTTGTCACTTATATGTTGATATTTTTCAGAGGATTACCAAGAAATTGAAGTGTAGCCTCCAAAGACTTAACCATATTAACTAAGTATAAACGAAATTGTAGGGCCTTAATTATCACATCTTTTGTGAAAATTATTTGCTTTAAATCCATGAAGAGTTCCTTTATAGATCTAATAAACTTTTCCTTACAATGGAATCAGTTTAGATGTTAATATGATTTAGTTTTAGATTTAATTATCTACGAGTCTTCTAAATTCTTTGAGCATAATTTTTTCTAGCTGCTAAAATTACGCTTATATTAAAGCTTCTGATGATTATTTTTGCTGATAAATATCATTCTCTAGTTTAATGACTCTGTTTTAATTTATTTAGAGTTGATTGATATTTGCTCCTTCAATTCTCCTTATATTATTATTTATTTAATCTAACTCTTCAAAGCTTTCACTATATAATTTATGTTAAAAATTAAGATTACGAGAAATTTGAAATAAAGCTTAAAATGTCTGATTTGTATAAAATATCCATCTTGATCTAGTCATTAATAGTTGAATACTATAATACTTAGTTATTTTTTATTATGATATCATGAATTTCTTGAGCAGTAAAATTTCTCTCTTTACTCATGAACTACTAGATATTATTTACTAAATCTTAGATTTACTTCATCTCCTATTCTAAAAAAGGCAATACTTTCTCAAAAGATTCATCTAAAAATTTTCTTTCAAAGGTGAAAAGCTAATTTTTATCTTTATAGTTATGATTATTTGGATCCTTTTGCAAGCATTAACTACAAACCATTTTATTAAGATTTTTACAGAATATATCTGCATTCTATTGAGGATGATCGTCACATTTTATGATATAAAATTCATGCTTCTCAAGATTTCTTAGTAAATACATTGGCGATTTAATTTTGTTTTAAATTTTGCATAGATGGGTATTATCATAAGGACAGATTATTTGCTAATTTTAGACTTATTCTTTTTCCATATTAAAGCATTATAGGCAAATAACATCTCCACATGATAGTTCAACAGGCTTTCTATCTATTAAGTTGTAAAGTTTGCTACAACAAAGGCATTAAAAGATATCGCTTGAATTAGACCGCATTTTTTAATTTTTAAAAAACAAATATATATTTTTAAATTACTTATATCTCAATGTAGCTAATTTTAAATTCCATGGGGTTTTGGGGTTTTGGGG